CCAGCCAGCTGAAAAACAGGCGTGAAATGAGAGGTGTCCTGGAGCTGCTCAGAAAGCAGTGGTGGGGAACAGCTCCGATGGGAATCATAGAATCGTCCAGGTTGGAAGAGACCCTTGGGATCATCAAGTCCAACCATCTCCCCTACTCTACAAAGTCCTCCCCTACACCATGTCCCTCAGCACTGCATCTAACCGGCCCTTAAACACAGCCAGGGATGGGGACTCCCCCCCCTCCCTGGCCAGCCTGTTCCAATGCCCGACCACTCTTTGGGTGAAAAATTCTTTCCTAATGTTCAATCTAACCCTCCCCTGTTGGAGCTTGAAGCCGTTCCCTCTCGTTCTGTCACTAATTACCTGTGAGAAGAGCCCAGCACCAACCTCTCTACAGTGTCCTTTCACGTAGTTGTAGAGAGTGATGAGGACACCCCTCAGCCTCCTCTTCCTCACACTAAACAGCCCCAACTCCCTCAGCCGCTCCTCATACGATTTTTTTTCCAGCCCCCTCACCAGCTTCGTTGCCCTCCTCTGCACTCGCTCCAGCACCTCCAGATCTCTCTTGTATTGAGGTGCCCAAAACTGGACACAACACTCGAGGTGTGGCCTCCCCAGTGCTGAGTACAGGGGCACAATCACCTCCTACTTCTGCTGGTCACAGAAGGGGATGGCACGGAAGGGGATGGCACCCTCCCTGCCATGGTTCAGTAGCCATCCTCCCCTGCACACCCACCACGGAGCAACTCACCGCTCAGGAACCTGCCAAGGCTGCAACTCAAGAACAAAGGGGGTCCTTCCCCTACCAAGGAAAAAAAAAAAAAAAAGAGAGAGAGAAAAATTATAACCTGTACAAAACTATCCCGTATTCAGTAAAGTTTATTTTATTGTCCAATCTTGGCTTTGGAGCGTTCACAACACAACTGCAAGATAAGCCTTAGCAATAGAATGAGCACATCCACAAAATAGTCCATGTCACATCTGAAATACAAAAAATTGAAATATTCTTATAAAACATTCAGACACAAGATTGATAGATGGATACAATCTTTTATTCTTCTTTTTTTTTTTTTTTTTTTGTACCTTTCCATTTATTCCAGAAAAACTTTCTATATAAAAAAAAAAAAATCATTGCTTCTTTTGGAATAAATCTTTAAAATCATTTCTTTTAAAATGCATCTTTCCTTTGTACAACACTAGTTAAATATATTATCGGTATTCTGCAACTGAATCACACCAGAGAACATTCACAGTATGTGTATCCTGGCCGCTTGGCTCTGCTTTTCCTGCTGTAGGACAAGCACGATGCTGAGGAGGAAAGAAGGCAATGAAGAAGCCAGAAAAGTGGGTTTTGTAGAGTTTGTGCCCAGCCCTTGCTGGCGGGGGGTGCTAAGGGGACATCCATAAAAAACACAAGACTCCAGCACACAGAGCCAGGACAGTCGTGTGGCTTTTCCAGGTGGGATCATGTCACTTTGAACCTCGGGGATTTCAGGATCTGGAGCTGGTGGCCCTGGCAGGACCCTCTCGGCCATCGCTGCCTCCGTGCTCTGAGCAAACCTGGCTGCAAGATGCCAGATTTACTCTGCTGAGAGCAGATTTTGGCCACTTAAGGTCAGGCAGGGCACCCATCCCCAGGTCCAGTCCCTTCCCCCTGCCCTGGGACACACACCCCAAACTTTTCTTCTCACTCAAGCCACTGGGTGAGACTCTTTCTCCACTGTTTTCCCACCTGCCCGTTCCCATCCTGCTGCTGGGAGCTCTGGGCTCCCATTTTCTTTTAGCCTAATTTCTGCCTGAAGATAAGTTGTGGGAAAAAAACCAAACAAAACATTTGAGAAGCTTGGGAAAACGGCCCTCTAATTATGATTTTTTTTTTTTTTTCATCATGTGTGAGGGAGAGGAAAAAAATCCACTTATTTTGTCCTCAGTCTCCAAGATACAATGTAGTTTTGTTATTTAAAATCTTAACATAGATCTGGCAACGGGCTGGGCCAGGAAAGGCGTGTGCAGTGTGTATGGAGAGGGTGAAATTAAATAGCTCTCTAAGTTTTATTGTTGTCCCCCCCAACACAGACCTTGCTTCACACATGACTTTACTTACGTTTCTTTAACTAGCTATCAGCTGGAGAGACAAAAGAGCACAGCTTTTCCTGGGGGCACAGCCAAAACCCCATTTTCCACCAGAACTGGTAAAAAAATAATAATAATAAAAAAAAAAATGGCAAGAAAAATGTCTGGAAGACAAAGCAACAGCTTCCTTTTGTCAGAACTCCCCATCTGTGGGGAGCGCCAACCGCTGTGCGAAGCGGTGGATGGGAGAACCCACGAAATGACAAAAATGCTGGGGAGCCACAGACATTCCCAGCATTTTCATTAGTGCTGCTCTAAAAATCCAAGTCGGGAGCCGGCTGGGGCTCCAAAAACCGGGGAAACGCCTGGAGACAAAGCAACAGCTTCCTTTTGTCAGAACTCCCCATCTGTGGGGAGCGCCAACCGCTGTGCGAAGCGGTGGATGGGAGAACCCACGAAATGACAAAAATGCTGGGGAGCCACAGACATTCCCAGCATTTTCATTAGTGCTGCTCTAAAAATCCAAGTCGGGAGCCGGCTGGGGCTCCAAAAACCGGGGAAACGCCTGGCTGGGGGATGAGGTGCTGGAGCAGGCAGGGAGAGATGCCACTGGGAGCTGGTGGGGAGGAGCAGGTCAATACTCTGCTCGGGGCTTCTATAAATGGGGGTGTCCACGAGATCCCTGTCCTCATAACCCCAGCCGGACCCCGCGCTCCTCGGAGGGGAGCATAACACCATCCTCAGGAGATGGAGAAGGGGGATTTGGCTCGGGGCTTCTATAAATGGGGGTGTCCACGAGATCCCTGTCCTCATAACCCCAGCCGGACCCCGCGCTCCTCAGGGGGGACCATAACACCATCCCCAGGAGATGGAGAAGGGGGATTTGGCTCCAGGCTCCAATCACTGCCGACCTGCAGCACCTTTTCCTCATGGCTGGGAAGGCTTTGGTCGGCATCGTGCGGGGAGACGGGATGCTCGGGGCTCTGCCAGCCCACACGGGCAAGAGCGGCAGCGACGGCCGGAGCTTATAAATCCAACCTTGCTCAGCGGGGCACCAGGTATTTACACACACTATCGACCTCCTGAATAGGAATCAAATATCCACTAAACGCGGTGGAACAAAAGGGGTTATCTTAAATTCGGCTTGTTAGTAGCGTACAAGGCTAATAAATAACAGTGTCTCCTTTAGGAAGGATTTGCAGGAGGAAAGGCAAAGGCTACGAAAGAATAAAGAGCAGTTAACAGGCCCTTTGTCTTGGCTATCTGATCCCGGGTAAAGCAGTTCCGACTACAGCAGTTTCTGTAGATGCCCTTGACCTTCAGCAGGAACACTTCTTGTAGCAGAGAGAGCTGAGAGGATACCAATGGGGGGTCTGGTGTGGTCTGTCTCCATCCTCCCAGTGTGGCAGTGGGACAGTTCGGCTGGGGACCCTCTGCCCCACCACACCATGTGCCCAAGGCAACCCCAGTGCATGGGGATGGCAACGCCAAGCAGGAAAACTGCCCAAAGCCAGGTCAAACATGTCCTAAAGGGGCTCCCCAAGAGCGGGTGGAGGGGGTTCCTGCTCCCCTTGGTCCCAACCACACTCTGCTCCCCCCCAGGCACACAAGCATTCTGCTCCATGTACCTGAAGGTGCTGCCATGGGGGACACTGTGTCCATGAGCTGCCACTTCCCAACGGGAGCTGGGCACCCCGGGAAGGGCAAGTCTGCACCACAGATCCCTGCCGTGCCAAGGAAATTCCTCTACAAACTGCCTTTGTGAAAGAAACGGCGACGGAGTCAGAGCTGGGAGTCACTCCAGCCAACAGCTCCCTTCGGGAAACCCCCCGACGGAGAAGCCCCACGAGGCAGGAGCTGGGAGCAGGGAACCAGGGAAAACACAGCCCTGACACCAGGGTGAAATGCGTCACTGGTGGCTGGTGGCTATTCATGCTCTTCCCCTATCAAATGGAAACAATTAATGAACTATTCAGCCTGCTGCACGCTGGACATGCCGAGAAGGGAACCGAGCAGGGATGGGCAAACCTCAAACAATGCAGACGTCTGGATGCTTGTCTAGGACTAAACCCCAATTAACAGCTTTGGTCTGATGGGGGAAGCTCAGAGGACGCATCGCATCGAGCACTGGGCAGAGGGAGGCATCGCCCCAGAAGCTTTAGGGGGCTCCAGGGTGTCCTCATTTAATCCTCACACATTGCATTTGCTGAGGACCCCAGAAGAAATGCTGCAGAGCAGAAAGCAGAGCCCTCACGCCTGGCTCGATGGGGAAATCCAGAGTTCCTGTCCCCTGGGTGATGCCTCCCAGGATGGGAGAGTGATGGGTTGAGACATCAGCAAGTCCTGCCAGGTGACAGTCCCAGTGCCTGCCAAATCCAGAGTCTCCTGGCCACATCCACGGGCTGGAGAGCTGGTGGGACACAGGACCAGTCATCCAGGACAGCCGAGAAAAGGATGTGAATATTATACAGCAGAGAGATTTCTTGCAACGCTCACACGCTCCAAGAGGTTTCAGGCTGTGGGGGAGAAGGTGCCACAGGGCCCCTGCACTCAGGATGGATTTGGCACGTTCCTGAAGTGTTGGGAGGGGGAAAAACGCCCCGGGAGCAGCCCTCGGCCAGCAAAGCAGGCTCAGATCTGAGCACGCACCTCGGTCCCACGGCATCGATCTGAGTCAGGGCCGGTACGATCCGGCGTCGGCTCCAAACGTTGAGGCCGGGCGAGGAGGTTTGAGGGATGATTTGCTTCTCTCCGGGTTCTATTTCTGGCCCCCCACAGCTGAGCTGTGGGAGGTTTGGCACCTCTCCCCCTTCCTCCGGGTAGAAATGCACTGAGGTGGGTGTGTGTGACACTGCGGAACAGTGACACAGGCTGCGCAGCTCGGGCTCTGCCACATCGTGTGGGGCTCAGCGAGGGGATGGGGGGGGGAGGAGGGGAGCATAACACCATCCTCAGGAGATGGAGAAGGGGGATTTGGCTCGGGGCTTCTATAAATGGGGGTGTCCACGAGATCCCTGTCCTCATAACCCCAGCCGGACCCCGCGCTCCTCAGGGGGGACCATAACACCATCCCCAGGAGATGGAGAAGGGGGATTTGGCTCCAGGCTCCAATCACTGCCGACCTGCAGCACCTTTTCCTCATGGCTGGGAAGGCTTTGGTCGGCATCGTGCGGGGAGACGGGATGCTCAGGGCTCTGCCAGCCAACACAGGCAAGAGCGGCAGCGACGGCCGGAGCTTATAAATCCAACCTTGCTCAGCGGGGCACCAGGTATTTACACACACTATCGACCTCCTGAATAGGAATCAAATATCCACTAAACGCGGTGGAACAAAAGGGGTTATCTTAAATTCGGCTTGTTAGTAGCGTACAAGGCTAATAAATAACAGTGTCTCCTTTAGGAAGGATTTGCAGGAGGAAAGGCAAAGGCTACGAAAGAATAAAGAGCAGTTAACAGGCCTTTTGTCTTGGCTATCTGATCCCGGGTAAAGCAGTTCCGACTACAGCAGTTTCTGTAGATGCCCTTGACCTTCAGCAGGAACACTTCTTGTAGCAGAGAGAGCTGAGAGGATACCAATGGGGGGTCTGGTGTGGTCTGTCTCCATCCTCCCAGTGTGGCAGTGGGACAGTTCGGCTGGGGACCCTCTGCCCCACCACGCCGTGTTCCCAAGGCAACCCCAGTGTATGGGGATGGCAACGCCAAGCAGAAAAACTGCCCAAAGACAGGTCAAACATGTCCTAAACGGGCTCCCCAAGAGCGGGTGGAGGGGGTTCCTGCTCCCCCTGGTCCCAACCACGCTCTGCTCCCCCCCAGGCACACAAACATTCTGCTCCATGTACCTGAAGGTGCTGCCATGGGGGACACTGTGTCCATGAGCTGCCACTTCCCAACGGGAGCTGGGCACCCCGGGAAGGGCAAGTCTGCACCACAGATCCCTGCCGTGCCAAGGAAATTCCTCTACAAACTGCCTTTGTGAAAGAAACGGCGACGGAGTCAGAGCTGGGAGTCACTCCAGCCAACAGCTCCCTTCGGGAAACCCCCCGACGGAGAAGCCCCACGAGGCAGGAGCTGGGAGCAGGGAACCAGGGAAAACACAGCCCTGACACCAGGGTGAAATGCGTCACTGGTGGCTGGTGGCTATTCATGCTCTTCCCCTATCAAATGGAAACAATTAATGAACTATTCAGCCTGCTGCACGCTGGACATGCCGAGAAGGGAACCGAGCAGGGATGGGCAAACCTCAAACAATGCAGACGTCTGGATGCTTGTCTAGGACTAAACCCCAATTAACAGCTTTGGTCTGATGGGGGAAGCTCAGAGGACGCATCGCATCGAGCACTGGGCAGAGGGAGGCATCGCCCCAGAAGCTTTAGGGGGCTCCAGGGTGTCCTCATTTAATCCTCACACATTGCATTTGCTGAGGACCCCAGAAGAAATGCTGCAGAGCAGAAAGCAGAGCCCTCACGCCTGGCTCGATGGGGAAATCCAGAGTTCCTGTCCCCTGGGTGATGCCTCCCAGGATGGGAGAGTGATGGGTTGAGACATCAGCAAGTCCTGCCAGGTGACAGTCCCAGTGCCTGCCAAATCCAGAGTCTCCTGGCCACATCCACGGGCTGGAGAGCTGGTGGGACACAGGACCAGTCATCCAGGAGAGCTGAGAAAAGGATGTGAATATTATACAGCAGAGAGATTTCTTGCAACGCTCACACGCTCCAAGAGGTTTCAGGCTGTGGGGGAGAAGGTGCCACAGGGCCCCTGCACTCAGGATGGATTTGGCACGTTCCTGAAGTGTTGGGAGGGGGAAAAACGCCCCGGGAGCAGCCCTCGGCCAGCAAAGCAGGCTCAGATCTGAGCACGCACCTCGGTCCCACGGCATCGGTCTGAGTCAGGGCCGGTACGATCCGGCGTCGGCTCCAAACGTTGAGGCCGGGCGAGGAGGTTTGAGGGATGATTTGCTTCTCTCCGGGTTCTATTTCTGGCCCCCCACAGCTGAGCTGTGGGAGGTTTGGCACCTCTCCCCCTTCCTCCGGGTAGAAATGCACTGAGGTGGGTGTGTGTGACACTGCGGAACAGTGACACAGGCTGCGCAGCTCGGGCTCTGCCACATCGTGTGGGGCTCAGCGAGGGGATGGGGGGGGGAGATGAGCCCCCAAGACACCAGCTGGGACCCATCTCCTGCCCCTCATGACGACGGCAGAGAGGGTGATGGGCTGGGGGGGCTCGGCGACGAGACGGGGGCTGCTCCATCGGTGCCTGGAAAAGGCTGGTGCAGGGATGGGAGGCAGGAGGGAGCTGATGCTCCTTTGGCCCCACTTCTGCCCAGCTCTACCAGCAGGTACGTGCACCCCGGGCCAAGCCAGCCCTTGCTCAGGACATCCCTGGGGAGCAGCCAGCTGAGCAGATTTGGAGACACAGCAGTGGTCAAGGAGGGGGGAGATGCTGGGGGAAGCAATAGGAAGCCGCCTCCTCCCAACCGCTCCATCCTTGTCAGGATTCAGGTACCAAAGACGGGGAGGAAAAAAGGGGGTTACGTAGGCAGAGACAAGGGCAAATAAAGGAGGGCTGCCCTGGATTTTGTGCTTCAGCTGCAGTCTCTCCAGTGCCCCCGACTCAGAGGTGGCTGCAAAGTGGCTCCCCAAGAGAGAGGGGGTGCAGGGCAGGTTGTCTGAGCACGGGTACATTTTGAGGAACACCTGCCTGGGCCAAACGCTACCATCCACAGCCCAGCTCTGGAGATACCACCCTCTGCTCACAAAACACCATGCCCCCCCCATGCCCGGTCACCCCCCTGAGGGCAGCGAGCTGTTCCCTGGGGCAACACATGGTCCTTCACCCTGGGCAATGCCCAGGGCAGCTCCTCACTATGACACCGGCACAGAGGGTGGCAGCTCATGTCTGATGGGGGCAACATGAGAATGAGAGGGGGGAAAAAGGCCACAGGTCCATCCCCAGCAGCTTCCAGGGGCTGTGGGTGTGGGGACGGGCAGGGGGGAGCCTGCGGCCAAGGGCGCTTCAGCATCGTCCTGCTGGAGTCAGTCATTCTGCGGTGGGTCGGGTGGGAGCCTGTCGCCATCTCCTTTCTCAGTGCCTTTGATCTCCATGGTGACAAGGGGAAGAAGATGAGATCCAGGTTTAAAATATACTCTGCCTCCTGTTCTTCCCTCGGGCTGAGGAAGAGAGAGAGAGATGGGTCAGAGAGGTCGGACGGCGAGCGGCACTTTGAGGAGGAGCTGAGCCCTGGGGTGCTCTGGTTTAGGAGGTTACAAACCCCCGGCATTCAGAGGAGGGAGCTGCCACTCAGGGCACCTACATGCCACTTTGGGAGGTGACAAGCAAGGATGTCCCAGGGGTAATTTGCAGCCTAAAGCAGGCAGCAGGGATGAGGTTTGGCTTTTTCTCACATTGGATTAACCCCAGTCCCAGCACAGCCCATAGCACCACCTGGGAGAGGTTCTCATGTTTTTCCCCAGTCCTACCTGACTGCTGAAAGGCTGAGGCTCGGTAGCCAGGGTCCTTTTGAAGCTGGATCTCCTTCAGGGAGAAGATGGAGGCATCTAGACAGAAGGGCCAGAGAGAGAGGGTGTCAGTCCAGCTGGCCAAGCCAACAGGGGTCTGCAAGCCCAGAGCCAGGAGGGATGGCAGTGCCCAAGAGCAGCACCTGCACTTCATCAGAGCTTTGCTTTTGCACTCCTACGTTGTCCTACCCAAATTGTTTCTCACCACCAAGCTCCCACCCCGCTCTGCTGCAGGAGCATCCCATAGTCAGCAAAGACAAGAGGCACCCGAAGAGACCTGGCTGCCAAGCACCCTCCTCGGGCTGGGCAGAAGCTCTTTGCTCCTCATCCCCCAAAAAGAGGTCCCCCCAGCACTTACTGTCCGGCAGGAGATGCACCCGCTCTCCCAGGCTCTTGAAGTACGCGTGGCGCAGGGCCGCCTCCGCCGAAATCCGGCCTTTGGCCTCGTACTGCACAAACCCCCAGAGAAACACAATTACACCCCGTCCACACGTGCCAGAGACACGCACAGGGGGTGTAAGCCCCCAGGGAATTTCATGCCCTGCGTGGGCGACAGCGTGTCCCAACGCTGTGCGCACCGTGGGGGTGTAGAGGGTACAGGTAGGGGGAGGGACTCTTTGCCAGGAAGGGTAATGATAGGACAAGGGGAAACGGTTTAAATTGGAAGAAAAAAGATTCAGATTAGGTCTCAGGAAGAAATTTTTTACTATGAGAGTGGTGAGACACTGGAACAGGTTGCCCAGGGAAGTTGTGGATGCCCCATCCCTGGAGGGGTTCAAGGCCAGGGTGGATGTGGCCTTGAGCAACCTGGTCTGGTGGGAGGTGTCCCTGCCCAGGGCAGGGGGGTTGGAACTCGATGATCTTTGAGGTCCCTTCCAACCCAAACCATTCTATGATTCTATAGGTAGTTCCAAATTTCCCAGTGCCACCTGGATGTACACAAGGGGCAGCACACACTGTGGGGCTGCAGGAGTGCACCGGCCACGTCCTACCTTACGGATCATCAGGTTTGATCATCTCACCCACTTGTGGTGACAGGACACAGGGTGAAGGATGCTTCACCATCCTCAAGTGGGAGCTGGTTTGGGATAGCATCTATGAGGCCATAGCTGTGGGGCCACGGCTCGTTCTGCAGTCACAGCTCCTCCCCTGCCTGGCTCCAAAACCAGCGTGAGGGCAGTCAAAGCACCTTCACTTCAGCAAATCCACCTGGACTGCTCTACCAACTCACCAGGAGGAGGTTCATCAGCAAGTCAATGCCTTCCGAGTCCAGCCTGAGAGGAGGAGGAAATAAGAAATGGAGCATTATTGCACCCAGGGGACACTGCAATAGCCAATGCAAGGGACAAGTGGCAGCTGGGACCTCCAGTACACCACTGAATTCGGAAGCTGCCAGCACCACAAGGAAGGAATTAAACGGGTCTCCCCAGGTTCCCCTTCACAACCAGCCCAAGCCCACCATGCCTTCTGTGTCCCTGCTCAAGGAGGTACCTTGGGGCGTGATTTATTAACGGCTGGGCTCGGTGCTGCATGAAATTGTAAGCCTTGAACTCCTCGTTGGATGTTATTCCAGGCCAGGTGTCTTCTGTCGGGGTTCCTGGGAGGGGGGAGAGGAGGAGGGAGAAACCCATCACGCTCAATTTGGTGAGTCCTACCCAGGAGAGAGGGCACGGAGCATCCCAAGGAGCATCCCAGGAGGGCAGGGATTTCCCCAGCACCCCATGGAACCCCTTGCCCTCACCCATCTGCAAGGCTGGGGGGGAGTGGGTCTGTGGGTAGCCCCTGCCCATGGTCATTGTCCACGGTCATTGCCCAAGGTCATTGCCCATGGTCCCTGCCCAAGCTCCCGATGCTGTGCTTTATCAGGGCTCCTGCAGTCAGCCACTGCCCTCGCGTGGGGATCCAGGAGACAGCAGAAGACTCACCCAGCAGCCTGAAGATCAAATGCAGCTCTTCCTTCACCGTGGAGCCGGGGAACATGGGCCTCCCGGTGACCATCTCGTAGTGGATGCACCCAACTCCCCTAGAGCAGCAGCAGAGGATTAGTGAGGGAGAAGCCCTGTGGACACCCCCACCACCCCTGGACCAGGGCTGAGGTTCCTGGAGAGGGAAATGAGCTCCAGGAGCTGTGTCCCTTCTCCACTACAGGTAACCATTCACCCCTGATGTGGAGAACATGCTCCAAAGACCCTCAGCCCTAAGGGACATGGAGAACAGTGTGGCCTCTGGGAGAGCCCACCACCCTCTGGTGTAACCAACACTAGGAAGCTCGTTTTGGAGCCAAGACTCACCACATGTCGATGGGTGTGGAATATTCGGTAGATCCCAGCAGGACGTCGGGGGGCCGGTACCACAGCGTGACCACTTCATTGGAATAGGTTTTCGTAGGGACTGACTTGGCCCTGGCGAGTCCTGAGGAGGAAAGGGGTGGGCATCGAGGAGCTGCACCTCCTGGCAATGCTGCATCTGCCCCAGAGAGAGCCACCTACCAAAATCAGCCAGCTTGAGCTCTCCTCTCTCGTTGATGAGCAGGTTCTGGGGTTTGAGGTCTCGGTGCAGGATCTTTCTCCCATGACAATACGCCAGACCACGCAGCAGCTGGAACATGAAGATCTGTGGGGAGGAGAAGGGGTTTGCATTTAGCACGGGGACATGGACACCAAAGGTGAGTTGGCCTCAAGGGCTCTCAAAGTCCTGGCCAGGAAAGACCTCTCAAAGCTGGCCTGGGGTGGGACACACTGTAGAGAAGTGTTCAGGCCCATCACCAGCAATCCAGAAAAGGGGATGAACAAAGTCTGCACCCACAGTAATTTTATTTAGGGTGGCAGTGACCAGGGAGATGCTGGTGGAGCATCAGAGTGGGCTGAAGAAGGTCCAAGAAGGGTAAAAAAGCTGAACTGAAGGGAGGAGGGGTGTCCAGCCTCACCCAGCCCTGCAACGCCCTGGATTGCACTCAGGGTGAGGTGTGGGGAGAGGGGAACGGGGTCCCAGCACCACTTTACCTTCACGTTGTGCACGCTCATCAGGTTCCCACAGTTATCCAGGTACTGCTTGAGGTCACTGTCCTGCAACGGGACCCACAGGTCAGCCCGTCCTTCCCTCAGCCCCCACCACCCACCTGCAGAAAGGCATCCGTCCCCCTTGTTCCCGCAGAAAAGCCCCCCCAGACCCACCAGGTACTCGAAGACGAGGGTGAGGGAACGCTCCGTGTGGATGATGTCGTGCAGGGTGACGATGTTGGCGTGCTTCAGGTTCTTCAGCAGCGACACTGCAAAGGAGAGGAGAGGGCAGGTTGGGGCAGCAGGACCTGGGTCTCCGCATGACTGCAGGTAGAGATGTCCCCCTCCACCACCACCCCAAATCCGCCTGTGACCTGGCATTGCCCACCAAAGCCGTGATGGGGAAAAGCCCCTCCTGCCCTCACCCTCCCGTATGGCCGTGCAAGGTGCCCCTTCCTCGTGCTCCAGGCGGATTTCCTTCAGGGCGACGAGGTTTTCGGTCAGTTTGCTGCGTCCCTTGAAGACAGTGGCGTAAGTGCCCTGGGTGGGGAGAGAGAAAATACAAGCTGTGGCCATGCAGACCATTTACCGGGGTGGCACAACACTGACACACCCCGTAATATTTGGAGGAAGGATCATTTGAAGCTACAGGGCCGAGTTTGAAGACCACAGAAAGACTTGGTCTAAAAATTGCTAGATACTGAAGAAATTTGGGTAGTGTCTGGCCTTTGCACTTCAAGCTGCCCTTCTAACAATTTAAATCTTTATAGGGGGTCTCATAGTCTACTCACCTCTCCCAGTTTGTCCAGTTTAACGTAGGTTTCCAGCTTCCCAAACCCAATATCTGACTGTAAGAGAGAAAGGAAAACATCACTGGGAGGGATCTCGTCCAGGGCTGGTTTCGGGTCGGGGGGGGGGAAGTCCAAGGCCACTGGCCAGTAACAGCTCCGGGGGCAGCTCAGCCAGGCCCGTGTTTCATGCAGCAGCCCAGCTGATCCAAGGGCATAAATCCCTTCCTTTCCCAGAGAAGCCATGCAGGCGACCAGGCAATCCATCAGAAAACCTTTCCCACCGACTGGCTGCTGAAGTGAGATGGATGGCATAAGCCCTCTGTGTCCTGGGGTGGCCACAGACTGCACCCCCATCCTGCTGCCACCCCCCAACTCCTGGCTCCTCTCACCCCAACAGCGGCCAAGGCAGAGAGGAGCTGTTTTTTGCAAAAAAACCATGACCTTTCTATCAGAGAAGCTTTGTGGGATCCTACCACTGATGCCCACCCCTTTTCTCGAGTGCTTTCCTACGTGCTGGGCTGTGACTCCCTTCAGATTCTGTTCAAATCAAGCGTGACAGGGACATTTTCCCACTTGGAACCGTAACTGAGACCTGTCCCTGTGTCCCCAGCGAAAGGAGGGCGACCCACTGCAGGGCCACGGGTTCAGGTGTCCCTCCCAGCAGAGCCCCCTGGGCTGCCACCCCCCAACTCCTGGCTCCTCTCACCCCAACAGCGGCCAAGGCAGAGAGGAGCTGTTTTTTGCAAAAAAACCATGACCTTTCTATCAGAGAAGCTTTGTGGGATCCTACCACTGATGCCCACCCCTTTTCTCGAGTGCTTTCCTACGTGCTGGGCTGTGACTCCCTTCAGATTCTGTTCAAATCAAGCGTGACAGGGACATTTTCCCACTTGGAACCGTAACTGAGACCTGTCCCTGTGTCCCCAGCGAAAGGAGGGCGACCCACTGCAGGGCCACGGGTTCAGGTGTCCCTCCCAGCAGAGCCCCCTGGAATTGGGGTTTTCCGTGGGGATGTGTGGGGATGGGGACACCTCCTCGCTGAGCTTGGATTATCTGCCAGGGCAGGGGATGGCTCCCAGCAGGGTCCCAGGGCAAGTCATTGCTGGTGTCATTCGCCCACGAAATATGTTGGCATCGGTGCAGTCCCAGGCCAGCAGCCAGCTCTGACTCCCACCCAGCTGGAGAGCCCCCCCAAGCCATGCCATGGGCTGATGATGCCATGGGCTGATGATGCCATGGGTTGATGATGCCATGGGCTCATGCCATGCCACTCACCATCACCAGCCCCCCCCAAACCATGCCATGGGCTGATGCCACCATGGGCTGATGATACCATGGGCTGATGATGCCATGGGTTGATGATGCCATGGGCTCATGCCATGCCACTCACCATCACCAGATGGAGCTGGATGGACAGATGTCCATCAGCCACCAAGACAAGGCTGGGAAAGGGTCCCCTGGTGGGGGGGAACTGCAGGAACCCCCCCAAGCTCTGCCCGGAGAACCATCAGCTCCAGGTCTGGGGTGCTCCTGCAGCCTCCCCTGCTCCCCACATCTGCCCCATGGGGTGGTTTCTCCTCTCCACAGGCACTCACACCACCAAGCCCTCACACGCTGGGAAAAGCTGCTTTCTTGCTCATGCAGGATGGATTTGGACTGGAAAATCCCTGGGGAACACGGTGTTTTACTCCAGTTTGGCTTCCCCAACCCTCTGCATAACCTGGGGAGAGACGTGTCCTGCGCAGGGAAATGAGGTGACTGCTGCAATCCAGGGGGGCTGTGTCACCCCCAGAGCCACCCCTTGCAGGAAGGTGCCTTATTCCTGGAGGGCACCATGAATATTAACAGCACGTTGCCCTGGCTGTGTCTATTTTATCGATCAGACAGAACAAGCAGGTCAATGGGGGCTCTCCTTTCCTCCTCCCTCCCCCGGGGCAGGGGGACATGCCCCATCTGAGGACCCCGGCTGAGCCCTCGGTGTTGTCTCCCCACAGCCCTGAGTGCTCCTGGGCAGCAGGACACACACTCCCACCTTTGTAAACAGGGCACCAGGTTTTTGCTCCTGCACATTCTGATGCTCTGCGGCAGAGAAAAACGGATTTGGACCGGAAAATCCCTGGGGAACACGGTGTTTTACTCCAATTTGGCTTCCCCAACCCTCTGCATACCCTGGGGAGAGACGTGTCCTGCACAGGGAAACGAGGTGGCTGCTGCAATCCGGGGGGGGCTGTGTCACCCCCAGAGCCACCCCTTGCAGGAAGGTGCCTTATTCCTGGAGGGCACCATGAATATTAACAGCACGTTGCCCTGGCTGTGTCTATTTTATCGATCAGACAGAACAAGCAGGTCAATGGGGGCTCTCCTTTCCTCCTCCCTCCCCCGGGGCAGGGGGACATGCCCCATCTGAGGACCCCGGCTGAGCCCTCGGTGTTGTCTCCCCACAGCCCTGAGTGCTCCTGGGCAGCAGGACACACACTCCCACCTTTGTAAACAGGGCACCAGGTTTTTGCTCCTGCACATTCTGATGCTCTGCGGCAGAGAAAAACTGAAATGTCAACACTAATGCAAAAGTTAATTCATTATTTATCGGCATTTGCATTTCAAGTAGCAGCAGCTCCAGCCCTCCCTGGGTTTCCACCTCCTCCAGTTTGGAAGGAGCCAGGCCAAGAGGGGAGTCAGGTACGTGCGGAGGTGGGTGAAGGAAGAGGCACGGCTGGGGATTTGCACAGCAGTAGGCAGATGTGCCCCAGATGTGCACGTGGAGGAGTGACAAGGGGGAAGAGACACGTGTGTGTGTCTAGTTGGGGGGAATGTCCACAGCTAGGAAGGTGGGAAAGGGATGTCCACGGGCAGGGATGTGTGTCTGTGTGACCATCCTGGTCATTTATCTTTCAGTAGTTTTACTTTTCAGTAAGGCCTCTTCTAACGTTTGGGAAAACTGCATTTCTATAAGACTCTGGTGTCTGAAGTTATGAAAATATTTACTTTATCACCAGCTCTAATGTGCAGATTACAAGGTCCCAGTGTTTTCGAGCTCCCCAGGTGCAGGGACGAGGAGGAGAGAGACCTGGGCACTTGACCCAAGGTGCCACCAGGGTTATTTCATACCATGAACGTCACCTTCCATATAAATTAGAAAGTTTGCTGAGGAGTTCTCTCTCTCCCTTGATGGCTGTGGACCAGAGAACTCCTTGTCCCAGTGATGAACCCTGAGCCCTTCCCTTCCTCCTGAAGCCACAGTGTCCCACACTGGCTGTCCCTGCTGGGAATGCACAGCTTCCTGGGATGGAATGGGTGGTTGGGGGGAATGTCCACAGCTGGGAGGGTGGGAAAGGGATGTCCACGGGCAGGGATGTGTGTCTGTGTGACCATCCTGGTTTGAGCGACACAGGGTTCATTTATCTTTCAGTAGTTTTACTTTTCAGTAAGGCCTCTTCTAACGTTTGGGAAAACTGCATTTCTATAAGACTCTGGTGTCTGAAGTTATGAAAATATTTACTTTATCACCAGCTCTAATGTGCAGATTACAAGGTCCCGGTGCTTTCGAGCTCCCCAGGTGCAGGGACGAGGAGGAGAGAGACCTGGGCACTTGACCCAAGGTGCCACCAGGGTTATTTCATACCATGAACGTCACCTTCCATATAAATTAGAAAGTTTGCTGAGGAGTTCTCTCTCTCCCTTGATGGCTGTGGACCAGAGAACTCCTTGTCCCAGTGATGAACCCTGAGCCCTTCCCTTCCTCCTGAAGCCACAGTGTCCCACACTGGCTGTCCCTGCTGGGAATGCACAGCTTCCTGGGATGGAATGGGCTGGGGATAGTCCTCGTATGTTTTATATTGGTATTGGGATAAATATTGGCTCTTTAGTGTTATTAATGTTAATTATCTAGTCTTGTACTATTAAATCTGTTTATATTTCAACCCTCAGGTTTCCTTTTTTTTTCCCAAATCCCAGGTGGGGAGGGACCATTGGGTGAGAGATAATTGTCTAAATGACAATAAATTGCTGTGGGTTCTTCAAGCCATAACAGTGACACACCGGGGGCACAGGGGAGCTTGCACAGCAGGGCAGGACCACACGGGTGGGTGGCAATCAGCACGGGCATCTGCTGGTTGGGACTTGTATGGGACTTCTGTGCCTGAAGTGAGAGGTTGTGCCCGGCACCGCTCGCTCTGCTGGGTGGGACTTACAAGGGAAGCCCGTCGGGACATCCTGCTGAGGTGTTTGGGGAACTCCGGGCTCTCCATCTGCAGCTTCTGCAGGAACTCGGGGGGCAGGCGGATGTCCATGGGCAGGGAGAGACGCTTGCTGACATCCTGCAGAGGGCCAGAAGATGGGGTTTTTAGTCAGAGTTGGGTTGATGGTTGGACTAGATGATCTTGAAGGACCCTTCCAACCTAGAGGACTCCATGATTCTACAAACAGAGGACTGTACAGAGATATTCAAGGGGAAGTACTCTCTAACCAGAGCTAATATTAATGCTGAAGGAAAGGATGCAGTGTCCATGGGACCCTTCATCAAAGGAAAAGGGAAGGGGTACATGCATGGGGGTGTGCACTGGGCTTTGTCAGGGACCATGGGAGTCACGTTGAGTGCTCCCAAAGAGGACATCAGGGCTTGTGTCTGAGCCTGCCAGGCCCCCATGAATCAAACACCGGCCCTTCCACCCAGCAGGCGGGTGACAACCAGAACTTGCCACGGTCCCTCCTGCCCACCCCAGCCCACAGCAGTACTTGCCTCCATGGAGAAGCGGCGCTGGTTGTTGTTGCGGTAGCGCACGGCCATGGGGGACTGGTCTTCCACCTCGGAGGGGGAGATGGGGCTGGTGTCTGCTCGGAAGTCCCTGCCCAGGTGTCCCAGCTGCAGGTGCCCTTGAGCCAGGTCTGAGGACAAAGAGACAGGAGAGGGAGCTGCTGGAGCTGCAGCAGAAGTGCCAAGATCCAAGGCATTTGCTTTGGAGAAAAGAGAGTAAGAGCAGAGCAGGGAGGTCTCAGGATGCTCTCTACGGCCATAGGAAAGTCCTTTTCCATCTCTGCATCCAGGAGGCAGAAGGAATACCTGCTTTTTGCTCCAGGATCCTGGTACATCACCACCCACACAGCTCAGCAGCACCCCCAAAGCACCCTAATACAGCCCCCTGCAATGAAGATCTCTTTCGAGTGATGGGGAGGGGGATGCAGAGAGGGGAACTCCTTCACACGCAAGGCCACCCAGATGTCCCAATCCAGCATTGCCTGGCAGCTCACCCGTCTGCACAAGCACCAGGGGTTTTACACGGGTGAGTATTCACTTTGACTTCCCAGCCTTATCCTCACTGATGTCACACTAGACAACACACGATTTGCACTTCAGGAACACCTTGGTGCCTGACCCTGGCTCTGGACCCCTCTGCACTAGGTCTGTCCAGAAGCAAACCAGAAAGACAGCCCTGCCCCTGGGGAGCTTATGAACTACACGTACCCAATCTGCCTCAGGAACCACCAAAACTAACAGACATGAGGATACTTTCCTCCAAGGACGTGACCATTTCTCAGAAGGTGTGTGGGATTAACAGCTGTAGAGTCACTTATTGCAAAACAAAACACTCCAGGCTGTCCTGTCCTGCTGCACTTAAGCCAGACACACAGTTCTGAGAAGTACAAAAGCTCCCTTGAAAACCCAAGCAGCTCAGAAAAACCAAGGCAGCTCAGAAAAATAACTCTTCTCTTGGGACTCCAGGTGTGAAGCCTCATTGAGCCCAAAAAACCCTGAAAGGAGCAAGAAATCAGAACAAAATAAGCCATTGAGCTCCCTCTGGTCTCCAGTTTGAGAGAGACCACACTTAAACCTCCTCACTCTGTAATTAACACCTGGTTGGTAGGAATATTTTGGCACACAGCGACCCAGACAGCGGCACAGCAAAACACGGACGAGTTCAAGGCAGGTCACTTGGACCCCAGCGAGGTGGATTCCCTCAATTCACATGAATGCTGTTTCCAAGGGGTTGTTCATAGAATCACAGAACGGTTTGGGTTGGAAGGGACCTTAAAGCCCCCCCAGTGCCACCCCCTGCCCTGGGCAGGGACACCTCCCACCAGACCAGGTTGCTCCAAGCCCCCTCTAACCTGGCCTTGAACCCCTCCAGGGATGGGGCAGCCACAGCTTCTCTGGGCAACCTGGGCCAGGCTCTCACCACCCTCACACCAAACAAGTTCTTCCCCGGATCTCATCTCAATCTCCCCTCTTTCAGAGCAAAACTGTCACCCCTTGCCTTATGGCTACACTCCCTTCAGAAGGAAGAAGCGCTAACTGGGTGTGCTGGGATGGAGGAGCACCACATCCCTAAGGGAGGGATGCATCTCCCTCTGAAAATTGTGGGGCCAAGCAAGGACAAACATTTTGTCCCCCTCCCTGTGGCCATACAGCTCTCTCCCTTCTCATCTAAACTTCACAGCTGCCCTTCAGGTCCACAGGCCTCCAGGGTCCAAGGAACCTGCCATAAAGCACCGGTGTCCAGGCACCCTGCAGTTGTTTCCCCAGAGCAAGGAGGAACTTTGTAGGAGGGAAACCCCCCAGGGAGGACCCGTGAATGCCCCAAACTGAGCTTGCCCCTTGCCAAGCCCCGTCCCTGAGCTGCACAGAGACAATCCCCAGCTGTGCCCAAGGCAGATCTCATCGCCCCCATCCCAATGTGCTGAGGCAGCCAGAGATGATCTCATTGCTGAGGACCGGAGAGGGAGGGCAGGGCTTTCACGGGGCGCTGAGCAGGGCTGGGACCTGGCTGCAGTTTGCTCATCTGACGGATGAGAGGTGGCAGGCAAGTGACCTGGGAAAGGATGAGGTTTCGTGCCATGGTCACTGGGGAACCAGGGGAGCGTGAGCTCAGGGATGCAGGGTGTCCTCGACAGACAGCCCGTGCCTAAAGGATGGGTTCAACCCATGGCACTGGGCTCAGGAGCATCTGAAACGGTGCCAGGAGCTTTTGGGCAGACAGGCAAGAATGAGGCACAGAGTCACCCCTTCTCCCAGGACCGCTGCGGGACTCTGGTCCCTGTCCCTCTCTGGCCATCTGTCTCTGCAGGAGCAGCCAGGAAAACTTACCCGGAATTAACCACAGGTATAAAATTAACGGGGGTCAATTAAACTGAATCAAATCCTTTTTAACTTGCTCACTTCCTAAGCAACTTATCCAAAAAAAAAAAGAAAAAACCAAAACAAAACCACAGGCCATTTAAAATCTGACTGGGCGGAATTCGACTAATCCACTTTAAATGACAGTTTGGGTGAATTGGTGCTGGTTCCCACAGGTAAATGAGCCCAAATTCTTGGTAAAAGATAGAGCCTGTCCCTGAAAGCTGCAAACCAGTAGCACGGTCTGTGAACCAGCAGCCCACCAGATAGGTCAGGGTCAGTCTCTCCTCATCGACAAGAGCATCAGATGTAAAGCCAGAGGGACGATGCCAACCTGGGCACTCTAGAGCATGCAAAGGGGAACGGGATACACAAAAGATGCAAACTACCACAGGATGGGAAAAGCACTTAAAAATACACAAAAGATTTGCAGAGATGAGGGGAAAGGTGCCCTGGGGCCAGCGAGGACAGGCGGGATGTGCCAGCCCATCCATCCCACGTCACCACGAGGTGCCCGCAGCACCCGGGGACACCCCATCCCCAGAGATGCTCTCCCAGGGCTGGGGATGCCCCTGGGGCTTGCAGGACTTTGCTGGCTGCTGGTGGGGAGGAGAAATGAAGCTGTGGGCGTGCAAATGTGAGGGCCTGTTTGATTCTGCTCGGCATTTCATGTGGATTACGGTGAGCCCTGACACTGCAAATAACGAGGCTGCATGGGATATCAAAGCAAATTAAAGTGAGACCGCAGACACGGTGGCTGCCTTTGACGAGCCTCCCGCCTTTTTTTATAAATATATTTAAACACTGTCTCTGCCAAAACAGGCTTTGATCTCCTAAGGAAAGGGGCCAGAACCCTTCACTGCTTACCTGACTTAAAACTTTTAATTACTTCGCTAAGTGTGAACTCTCCTCTCAAAGCTCTGTTACGCTCACGAGGCAGGGCTGCGCTCAGGTCTTGGATTATTCATCCTCCTTCCTCCCCCTCAGCATCACTTCTTTGTGGCCTTTGCAACGGCATAAATCAGAGCCAGATCTGGCCTTTTGGCCAGATCTGGCTCTGATTTATGCCGTTGCAAACCAGGAATTATGCAGCCCAAACACTGAGCCCTTATTTGGCCTTGGAGGACAGACCAGGCAGTAGCTGTTTCACAGGGTAAAGCCTGGCCCAGCTACGAGCTGGATGCCACCAGCTCCTATCAAAGCAAATGGGAGACACCAAGACTTGATACTTCTGAAAATCTAGAGTATGGAGAGGAATGTGTGACTGGGGAAGCCCAGGAAGAAAGGAAAGAGCCCCTTCATGGGAGGCTGGAGCAGCCATGGAGAAGGTTCTCCATCTCCCAGGATGCTGGCCATGGTGAAGGGTATCAGACATGGCACAGAGCCCAGCCTGGGCTCTCCTTAACCCAGGGGCTTTCCTCCACCTCTGCCTCAGCTGAAGAAGGGCTGTGCAGCCCAGGAGAGGGATGCAGGGCAGGGTGGAGGAGCCTTAGACCCCCCAAAGTGGGCTGTGAGAGAGTCAGGCTCCGACCGCAGGCACCCCCTTTGCCTCTGCATCGTCAGGCTCCATCGAGGTGACACTGCCCAGGACAGGATGTGTCCAGGCTGGAAAGCTGTTTGCTTTTCCATTTGCCAGCTCTGCTTCTCTCAGGCCTCGTTTTATCAGCCTCTGTGGGTGAGGCCACGAGAAAGTCAAGTGATTTTGCACCCTGATTTCTCCATCTCAGAGAGAACTAAAGTTAGAGCCTTCTCCAGACCAGGCAGCATCCACAAGGTCCAAACCTCACCACCAAACCCTGCAAAAGAGCTGTTTGCACATAAACCCCCTTCTCCAGAGCCACCAAAACGATCCTGTCCCCCCCACACGTCTGAAGCATCACTCTCACACCATCCCCGAATCCCTCCTCACCCCGGGGTGCTGGGGCTCGTGTGCTCCCCCCCCAGCTCTGCCCCCCAACACCAGTGCCTCCAGCTTCCCTCTGCTGAGCCCCTGCCGAGTCCTGCTGGCACAGGGATGCGGGCGAAGAGCTCCCGGCCAGGAGGGGTTTATTAAACAGGCAAAGAGATGCCTCAGACAAATGTGGCTGTCAGGGCTCTTCATAAACAACAGCCGCAGCCCGCAGGAGATGGAGATTAAGGGCACGGCGGAGGTGACTTCTCGGGGCTGTTTACAATCCCCACGGGAAACTTAATCAGGAGATCTCAGAAGGAGGGAGCGGGCTCGGGGTGGTGGGGATGGCACGTTTTGCCTGTCCTGCGTGGGAGAGGGCTCGGGTGCAAACTGGGAACCCTGCACCGGGGAGTGGGGAGCATTGGGAGGGAGAGCTGGGGCCAGGATGTGCTGCATCCAGGCAGGGAGGGAGGTACCAATCAGTGGGGGCTGGCACCGGGGCACCCCACGGGGTGATGCTGGCAGAGCCTGAGCCCCTGATGCATTCCTGGGTCCAGGCAGGAGGATCTCCCATCATACCATGTCCCAGTACTGGTCCAGCCTCCACCCCCAGGGCTGGGAAAACCCTCGGTCCTGGCCCCAGGACTGCTCTGACTTTGCTCTTATTCTTGGCTGGCTACCTCCGGAGCGAGACCAAAACCCTGGGGGGGTGGATAGACAGCTGCTGCCTGCACTGTTTGCTGCTTTGCTGTTCAAGGGCAAAGGAAGGACTGTGACCCAAGCTTCGTTAAAGCAGAAGAACAGGGAAATCACCTCCCCAACAAAGCCCCGGGTTGCACAGCAGAGATAACGAGCCCCGGCTCAGCCATCCCAGAGCAGAGGTCCCCCAAGGAAGGCAACAGCAGCAGCAGCTGTCAGCGCCCAGGACTTTCTTGGCCTTGCACCATTTTATCCCCACAGCTTCTGCACATCTAATTAAGGGCTCAAGTCTAATTATAGCCCTCACCGCTTGCTAGGGTGTGAGGGGAGGTGTGTGTGGCAGGGGGAGAAGCAGGGAAGGAGGCTGTGAAGGGATGCTGTTCAGGGCAGCCTAGGTGTCTGGAAGGATAAAGAAGAGCGTCAGGAGCTGCAGGAGTGAGGAAATCCAGCTCTAAATTAGGTTACTGCATCTCTCCTTCCGAGCAGGTGAGCTGGCAGGGAGACGGTCCCTCCCTGCTGGGGCAGATGCGAGCGCCAGGCAATTGCATCACTGCCTCAGCCCCTGCTTCCAGCAAAAGTTTCCAGCAATCGTGGCTGCAGGGTGAGGGGGAAAAAAAGAGCTCGAACGTGACCTGAGCGGAGCTGAGGGCACCGACACATGAACGGGCTGTTTTGGGAGGAGGCAGCAGCAAAAGCATGATGTGATCGCCGGGAGCGGTTCAGCCTGGCACCAGCAGCAGCAAATTTACCTCTGGATGAATCAAGTCTGACTCTCTCCAGCTCCCAAAGGCCTGCCTGTCAGTGGCTCTGCCTGCGTGCCCGTGCAGGGCCACCTTGGCACGATCTGCTGATGGTTTGTGCCTCCAGCATCACCTCTCCCTCATCACCGTGCCCACAGACAGGAGCCTGCCCCAGCCTGCAGCGGGCCTGGTTTGTGCCTCCAGCATCGCCTCTCCCTCATCACCATGCCCACGGCCGGAGACAGGAGCCTGCCCCAGCCTGCAGCGGGCGGCTGCTCTCCTGGCAGAGGGGATGCTCTCCTGGCAGAGGGGGTGCTCTCCTGGCAGAAGGGATGCTCTCCTGGAAGAGGGGGTGCTCTCCTGGCAGAGGGGAGGCTCTCCTGGCAGAGGGGATGCTCTCCTGGCAGAGGGGATGCTCTCCTGGCAGAGGGGATGCTCTCCTGGCAGAGGGGATGCTCTCCTGGCAGAGGGGATGCTCTCCTGGCAGAGGGGATGCTCTCCTGGCAGAGGGGATGCTCTCCTGGCAGAGGGGATGCTCTCCTGGCAGAGGGGATGCTCTCCTGGCAGAGGGGATGCTCTCCTGGCAGAGGGGATGCTCTCCTGGCAGAGGGGATGCTCTCCTGGCAGAGGGGGTGCTCTCCTGGCAGAGGGGATATGCCCCATTCGGTTCACCCAGGTATTAACCCTAAACCTCCCTAGGACCCTGAAAACTACACCCCAGGAGAAGGCTGTGGGTCCAGGAGCCAAGGATGGTTGAGGGAGCCCCTGACGGGAGAGAGCAGCCCCTTTGGCTCGGTGGCACGGCCAGCCTGTAGCCCCGGGGAGGGCACAACCACCACCCTCCCTTTTAGGCAGGAGGGAGGAGATCCCACGTTTCTCCCCTTAACCACAGATGTGTCATTCCTCTCCGTTTTCCACAAATACCTTTCCCTCCTATAAGGCTTTCTTTATGCGAGTACAAATCTCTCTTCAGATCATATTTAATGACAAGGTGTTATTAATCCCGTATGCCCCATTCGGTTCACCCAGGTATTAACCCTAAACCTCCCTAGGACCCTGAAAACTACACCCCAGGAGAAGGCTGTGGGTCCAGGAGCCAAGGATGGTTGAGGGAGCCCCTGACGGGAGAGAGCAGCCCCTTTGGCTCGGTGGCACGGCCAGCCTGTAGCCCCGGGGAGGGCACAACCACCACCCTCCCTTTTAGGCAGGAGGGAGGAGATCCCACGTTTCTCCCCTTAACCACAGATGTGTCATTCCTCTCCGTTTTCCACAAATACCTTTCCCTCCTATAAGGCTTTCTTTATGCGAGTACAAATCTCTCTTCAGATCATATTTAATGACAAGGTGTTATTAATCCCGCTGGATAGAGGGGGGAAGCAGCACAGACAAAGGGGCAGTAACTTTCCACATGTCAACACACCACCAGAACGGCCAGTGGGGCTGGAGAGGAGAGATTTGCTGACAGCACTGACCCCAGATGCTCCCAACCAGCCCCAGCCGGGGCCCGGGGGCTCCCTACCTTCATTCCTCCGGTTGTTGAGCTGGTTGAACTGCTCCGTGAACTCCGTCAGGGACTCCTCGATGGTCTCCGTCCGCGGCACCGAGAGGGAGAACCTCCTCTTGAAGTTTTTCATCTTGTTCATTTTACCTCGTGCTGCGAGGGACGGCAGAGCCCTGCGGGGAAGGGGAGAGAGGAGGCTGAGAGGGATGGATGATGCACGGGATACCCCCCCTCAATCCCCCCAGCTCCTGCTCTTTGGGGCTGGCAGCACCCCAAGCTGAATGTCTCCTGCTGGGGATCTGCAGGGGTCCCTGGGGACATCCTCTTCTCCGAGGCACCGCTGCTGCGTCAGAGCAAGAGAGGAACCACATGGTCACCAGGTTCCTCGTGAATTTAAGAGCTGAATTAAAAGCAGGGGGCTTTTTCTGAGCTAGTTATCGGAGCTGAGCCCAGGGCAGAGCTGTGGACGAGTACCAATACGAGTATCATGAGTACCAACACAGGCTGCGCCTCACAGCATCCTTGGAAACTCCAGGGAAGAAATAGAAGGAAAGCAAGAAAGAGTAAACAGTGATGGAAAAGATTCGCTACCATGCTCCTCCCCGTACAAGGAGGCACCTCTCCCCTGGTAGTTTTTTGGTCTCTGCTTTGCCCTTGCACGAAAGTCTTCCCCAGCCTGCAGCAAAATGCTGCGCGGAGCCAGTACCGGCCGGGGGGATCCCCAAGAGCCACGGAAGGGGAGATGCTCCCAGCTCCCAGAGCACCCACAAGCTCTTCAATGACTCATCCTGGACGGGCATTAGAATCGCCTTAGCCAGGGATCTGATTAAAGCAATAAAACCCTTAAATGAAGAAAACCCTCAAGGGGCACATGGCGAAGCGTGCTGAGCCCGAGCAGCCACAGGAGCAGCCGAGGGAGCTCACCCTGGGCATCTGGGAGCCACACGTGGCTTTGTCTTTCCTACTTTGGCTCTTGCCAGCCTGTCTGGAGCTCAGCAGTGCAGAGGGGACAGGGCTGGCCTTGCAGGGTTTGGTCTTTAGCACCGGCCCTGCTGCACTTGGGGGTTATTCCTCCTGCCGAGCACAGAGCAAGCAAACAGCCAGCGCTCCTGGGACACACAGACATCAGTGTGTCACCCCCAACCAGCCACAGCTCTGCCCCTTCCAGTCCCTGGCCCGAGGAGGTTCGGCTCTGTCCCTCTCCCCTTCCCAATCCCATGAGCATCGTGCTGTTCCTCCATCAGCAGTTGTCATCTCCACCCTCTAACCTGTCTGGAGGGGGATTTTCCATTAACACCACTGGGCTCCTTTAATGCTCCTTTCATCCACCAGCCCAAGGTGGGATCTTAAGGGGAAAACCCTCCTTTGGAACCAAAGAGGCATCAAAAGCTACACAGAGCGGTTCTTCCCTGCACCGACACACACATCCCACGGCTTCTCCCACACCCCTGGAGCAGGTCAGCCCTCCCTGCTCCTGGGTGTCCCCCCCTGCAGCTGAGCAGCCCTGTCCCAGTCCCCCCAGTCCCCTGTGGGGCTGAGCAGCACAAACAAACGGGTGATCCCATTCCAGGCTGATGCGATCAGACACAGCATCCGGGAGCTTAATGCATCGCGTCGCCAGGGCAACGGGAACACTCGGGCTGACATGCCTGCATCTGAAAGCTTAAAAGATTATCCGTCAGCAATACAAACACTCCGGGCTTGCGTGTCTGCCACGCTCTGCTGCCAGGCACGGCACCCTGCTGGGGGTGCCATCCCCTGAAAATCCTGGGGTTTCACCTGAAGCCTTGGGGGTTCACACCCCTCAGCCACCCCCCGCTGCTCTCCCACCTCTAATCACAGAATCATAGAATCATAGCATCATAGAGTGGTTTGGGTTGGAAGGGACCTCAAAGATCATCCAGTTCCAACCCCCCTGCCCTGGGCAGGGATACCTCCCACCAGAGCAGGTTGCTCCAAGCCCCATCCAGCCTGGCCTTGAACCCCTCCAGGGATGGGGCAGCCACAACTTCCCTGGGCAACCTGTTCCAGTGTCTCACCACCCTCAGAGTAAAAAATTTCTTCCTTAAATCTAATCTTAATCTTTCTTCTTCCAATTTAAAACTGTTTCCCCTTGTCCTATCATTACCCTTCCTGGCAAAGAGTCCCTCCCCAGCTCTTCTATAATACTGCCAAAATGGAAAGGTGACGGCTCGCCAGAGATGCTTGTGTACCTGGACTCAAGGCCGGGGGTGGGAAGGGGGGGCTGGAGGTGTTTTGAGTTGCGAGGCGAGGCAGGAGGATGCCAGACACATCCTCTCCAGCCTTCAGACATTTCAATGCTTTCTCGGTGCTACAGAAACATGCTTTGACAACAAAGAGGCCAAGAACGCTGCATTAAGGAATTTCCGTGCCGGTGCTCTCCTCGTGGCTGGGAACAAAGTCTCCAAGCAATGCTGTTCCTTCTGAAGGGCAGGCAAAGCTTGACACTGGCTTTGGAGATGCTTTTCCCAGCCCGTGGCTCTGACCTGCTTCCCCACCTTGCAAGCAAAGCAAATTTTAACCAAGGCACTGCTGGTGTGTGGAGATGCCGCTGGTGCTGCTGGCACCCAAGGAACTAAACCAACCCAAAGTGTTCTGCTCCAGCTGTGGACGCTGCCACCACGATGGTGGCACCAGGAAAAGCCACAGAAGCTCCCGTGCCGGGCACGGTTTTACTCCCAAAGAGGAAACAGGAGCCCAGGGGAAACCCCAGATGCTCCCAGCAGGTACATCAGAGGTCAAACAAAAGACAATCTTTCCACATGAACGTTCAGATAAGCCCCAGTGATTATTCCTTCAAATGAGGGCATCAGGAAGTGTCCCCACATCTCCGGGGAAGGCTGCACTAATGAAGTGAGCCCTGGTAGCACCCCGAGTGACCCGGGCACACGTGCATAACACAGCAAGAGTGAGGACACCCTCGCAGCAGCAAGTGCTGCAATTACCTGGCTTCAAATCCACCCGAGGACACCAGCTCGACCTCTTCTAGGAACTAGAAGAGAGAGTTGCATGAGATTGTCCCTCGCCAGTCCCTCAAGATGCTTAAACCACAGCTTGGAGAGGGTGGTTCTGTGTCTTAGCAGAGATGTAGAGATGCTGTGCCCCCCTGACAGTGGGTCACAGAAGTGCATCCAAACCTAGATAACACTGGCAGGACCAAGGAGGAAAGGTCCCAGCTCCAAGCACCATCCCCACTCCTGCCCTTTTGGAAAGGGCTCCCTGCCTGGCACTGGGGGGAACTGGGCTGGAGGGCTGGGGGCTGCTGCAGAGCTGGTTTGTGTGTGTGTGTCCCCAACCTGCTGTGCCCAAAGGACAAAAATAGCAAAAATAGCACCCCCACGGCTGGCTCCCTCTGCTGCTCCGCTCACGCCTGCCCTGGACTCGTTATCTTTATGGCTCTGTGCAATTGGGGCTGTTTGTACCAGCCAGACCTGGACCTACTTGGCATCTGGTGATGGAGTTTCACATTAGAGCGCTTGCCAGCTGGAATTTATGGGACTGTTCTTGTTCTCAGCCCTCTCCTCCTCCCAGGGAGGAATTTGCCCTGCCCCGAGTGCCCATTCGGATCCAGGTGCCCTAAAGCTGGGATTTTCCAGCTACACGGAGCAGCCTTTTCCCCAGCACGGATTTCAATGGACGAAATCCCCGCCAGCTGCCCTCTTGTTTTCCACCACGTTGAGTGCACTGAAGGAAGTGGAGGCATTTATTGACTTTCTGAGAAAAAGGTGGCACAAAGCAATGACATCATTCCTTTTACAGCCTCGAAGGGAATCACAGCAACCCCCCAGCCCACAGTCAGCTCCGGGATGGGAGACGCCGGCTCGATGGGCCACACGCCGAAACAGGACGTTGGAGGGCAGGGCAGGAAGGGGAGAAGGGGGTTCTGAGAGGGCAATGAGGAATTTTGGCATCAACGGGCAAAAAATGGAAGCACCCGGGGGTGGCACCGGGTCACGGAGCAGGGAGTGAAGCCAGCAGTGGGAGCGATCTGCATTTACTGTAATACAGTCAGAGAGTAAATACGTGGCTGAAAAAACAACCCTTCGAAGCACCCAAATTTTTCCCATCAGGAAAGCTCATCACGTGGCCGAGACAAGACGTTAATGACCCTTTAAACGCCGCGTTCAGAGTCTGTGCTGTGATTTTTCATCCAACCATCCCCAGGGGCACTGGGGCTGCGACCGTCTGCAGGAATCTCTCCTGCCTTTGTGCAGCAGAACCCGCTGGCTCTCTGCAAGGGACAGGTATTTTAGGCACAGACGAGCCATCCCCAGCCTGTGAAGCTGTCCCCTTCTCTCCCCCAGCATATTGTGGGGGATGCAAGGGACAGGTATTTTAGGCACAGACGAGCCACCACCAGCATTATGAAGCTGTCCCCTTCTCTCCCCCAGCATATTGCAGGGGCTGGGAAGCAAGGCTTTCAAGCAATAACCGCTTTATTGCTTTTCACAAATGATAAGTGGCTCCATTTTTTTTCTCTTGCCATTTTAACAGACTCCTGCCCCCATTTCCCAGCTGAAAGGGTGGAAGGCTTGGAGGGAATAGTATGCTTTTTTAAAGCCTTTTTTTTTCTTCTTCTTTTATCCCCAGAGATTAACAGTTGTGTTTACAGGCAAAATGAACAGTCCTATTCAGCAGCTACGACTCATGCTTCTAGCTATTGGGTAGCACTGATTCACTCCTGCGAGTATCAGAGAAATGGTGAATTCTGCTCGTGGAGCCTTATTTGCTCTGCAAACACGGCTATCCTGCAACGCTGCGTGTGCCTCCAGGGCTGAGCAAACAACCACCAGTTGAATACGTGCCCCTCCTCACGTGGCAAGGCTTGGGGACACCAGGCAGACCCACCAGAGCTCACCAGCATCGCTGGGCAGCCCTCTCCACTGGCCAGCGGCAGGTCCCCGGGGTGGCCAGTGGATGTTCTCCCTCCTGAGCCCCCACACAGGCAGGGAAAGAGGGCTCGATGCCGGCGATGGGGGAGATTTTGGCCCCTCCGTGGTGCACATTCCTGTGCAAACAGGAGCTCGGCACAACCCGAATTCCTCCTCCGCTTCCCATTTCCTCAGCAGGGCCAGAGACGGGTCCTCAGGGGGGGAATGGGGGGAGATCTGGGGGCGTTCTGGGGAGTCAGAGGGAAACGGCGGCACGCTGG